AATTATATACAATACATGGTTTTATTCGTGGACGTTCTGTACCACTGGTGTATGCTCTTCTTCCTGGTAAATCGGAGGCCGTTTATGGTGAACTATTTAATGTTTTGGTACAAAATGTCAGCAAACATCCAAAATCAATTACAATTGACTTTGAGAAAGCTGTCGAAAATGTTATTAAACAAAAATTACCAACAACAACAATCAACGGATGTTTTTTTCATTTTAAACAAGCTTTATGGAGAAAAATAGAAGTACGTTTATTTGCTGACTTAGATGAAAATCGTGAAATAATCGTACTAATATCTCATCTTTCTGTCTAGGATTTAGGCTTGCAACAACCATTTGTTAATGATCGCGAAGTTCGGCGTTACTTAAAAAATTTTGCTTGTTTATCCTTTGTATCTGAAGCTTTTGTTGTAGAAGAATTTGAGAGGTTTCAAGATGAATCTCCTGACTCGATAAACGGTACGTAGTTTAACGGATTATACAACTAAAACCCCATAAGACTCCGGTTAATTTTCTTTCAACAGATTTCGTCGATTATTTTGAAGATAATTATATTGGGCGTCGAATTCGTAATAATCGTCNGGTAGGCATTATATGACTGAGTTCGATACTATTAACGAACAGGCTAATTTGATTGATTGATTAAAATGTTATATTCACGCTAATTGATTGATTGATTAAAATTTTATTTAATAATTTATTTTTTAATAATGAGTTGATTAAATTTGAATATTTGTTCTGGTCGTGTAACTGTTGATGGTACACAATATATTAAATTAACTGAAAGTAAGATCAAGCTCTACAGACTATTGTCCTCAATAAGTCAGCTACTTTTATTTAGAATTCTGTTCGTATAAATCCATCTATTTATGAATCTATTAAAGATCTTCAAGTGGAACAACATGCCAATTTAATTATGGCTGAGAAGTTAGAAGCTGGGCTTGTAAAATTGACAAAACGTGCGGCATATGAACAAATGGACGAACAACTAGAACAGTTAATGACCACTTTTAACATAAACACAAGAAAGGAGTATTTTAAAAGAGCAAGTGCTTTCTTTAATTTTTGAAATTAAAAAATTAAAAGTCATTTAATGCCCATCTGCGACAGGCTCAAATGTCAAAGGCTCACGTATCGGGAGGCTTAAATATCGGGGGCTGAAATGTCAAGAGCTCAAGTGTCGGTAGGCTCATCTGTCGAGGCTCATTTGTCGGGGCTCAAACGTCAGAGGCTCATCTGTCGGGGCTCAAACGTCAGAGGCTCATCTGTCGGTGTATCATTTTTAGCTTTTTTTATATATGA